GGTTGAGAGTGCACGCTTAATTTTCATGCATGAATTTGATGCTAGAATATAAGGGAGTTTCACCTAATCGTTATGAACTTATATTCGCAAGTAGTGAAGGTTGCTAGTCACAATCGCGTTAAGTAAATTCTTGGCATAAATTTCATGCAATTCATAGTAACGAGTGCCTCATCAATGCTTATATTTTTCATAGAACTTAATGATTCTTGCTTGTATCTCTATTATGCAATTCATGTAGGGAACTTATGGGGAATGCTTTGGGTTGTCGTATGCAATTCATCCAATTCAATAACTTAAGGAAAATCTGAGGGTTAATTAGTGCAATTCACAGTTAATCTGGGGTGTTGGGAATTCATGGTTTATCGAAAAGCAATTGGAAATCGTTTTGTATGCAATTGTGACATGTGTGGAGAAGAACCCCTTAGCTAGCTTTCCATCCATTCACTTTTATCAAATTCGTTTTAGAATCTGTTCAATTTACAAAGTTTGTTCTTGTTTTCAATTTTCGTCAAAACTCAATCCCCATTTATTTTGAAGTGTTAGATTAGTTAGAAATCAATTTAGTTTGTGTTTTTAAGTGTCTTGAGTCAAGTCATAACCCAATTTCGTCCAATTTAGTGTTAGGTGTTCAAAACTACCCAGAAAGTGTTTTTAAGGCAGTTTTGAGTGTTTATTTGCTATTTTGCTTTTGGTTTGTTTTGGTGTTTTATAGTTTAGTTTTGCATTCTTTGAGTCTAGTTCAGTGTTTTAAACTTTGTTTTTACGTTTTGAGTCAGTTTCAAGTGATTTGGCAATCCCTCCAAATCCCCAGCCTAAAACGATCCCTACTTACATACTTTGCTACAATTGATAAAAAGAGGGTTTAATTTGTGTGCTTATATATTTCGCTTTCGCATCAAGTCTCACATTCCCTTTACCAAAGGTACGTCGTTAAATTCTTGTGAGCACTGTTTATTCGGTAAACAAAGAAGAGTTAGTTTTTCTGTTCCATCTACAAAGAAAGGAAATTTGGTCGATCTTGTTTATTCAGATGTGTGTGGCCCCATGGAAGTCGAGTCACTTGGAAGAAATAAATATTTTGTTACTTATAGTGATGATCCTTCACAAAGTATCTGGGTGTTTTTATTGAAATCCAAAGACCAGGTGTTTCAGACATTCCAAGAGTTTCATGCCATGGTGGAGAGGGAAACCGAGAAACCTCTCAAGTGCCTTCGTAGCGACAACGGCGGCGAGTACACATCTCACCAGTTTAGAGAGTATTGTGTGAAACATGGCATACGTCATCAGAAGATAGTTCCTGGAACTCCATTACATAACGGTGTTACTGAAAGAATGAACCGAACCATCATGAAGAAAGTCAGGTGTATACTGAGGACTACAAAGTTATTTAAACAGTTCTGGGGTGAAGCTGTAAGGACAACTTGCTATTTGATCAATCGATCTCCATCAATACCATTAGGTCTTAATGTTCCAGAAAGAGTATGAACTGGTAATGATGTGTCTTACTCTCATCTAAAGGTGTTTGGCTTCAAAGCTTTTATGCATTTGCCTAAAGAGCAAGGATCGAAGTTAGACTACAAAGCTACACCGTGCATCTTTCTTGGTTATGGCAGTGAAGATTATGGTTACAGATTATGGGACCCATACCAGAAGAAGTTTATCAAAAGTAGAGATGTGATCTTTTATAAAGATCAAACAATTAGGGATTCGGATAAATAGGCACAACCATATGGCGTAATCAGAGGAGTTGATCCATTAGCTTCAGATGAAAAAAGTCACGGTGACTTCCCTAAAGCAGCTACCAATGAAGTGCCTGCAGAACCAGATATTGTTGATAAAGGGGAGCCTGATTAAGATGAGCCAGACCATGAAATTGCTAATCAGGGGGGGAGCTTGAATAGAAAATTCAAAGAGAACCCAATCAAGGGGAACCTCCAACCCCGCAAGAGAATGAAGACCAAGTCAGAAGATCCAATAGAAGTCAAAGACTGTCTACCAAGTATTCTTTATCAGAGTATATCATGTTCACTAATTATGGAGAACCCGAAACTTATGAGGATGCAAGAGCTCATAACGACAGTGACAGATGGATTAAGGTAATGGAGTCAGAAATGGATTCCTTATTAAAGAATGATACCTATAAGCTGGTAGAGCTTCCAAAGGGTAGAAAAGCATTGAAAAACAAGTGGGTGTTCAAATTTAAAAGAGATGACAACATGACAAGGTACAAGGCTCGTTTGGTTGTCAAAGGTTTTGGTCAAACGAAAGGAGTTGACTTTGATGAGATTTTCTCACCAGTGGTGAAGATGACTTCTATTCAAGTTATCCTTGGTATGGCAGCAAGCATGGATCTTGAGCTCGAGCAGTTAGACGTTAAAACTGCATTTCTCCATGAAAATTTAGAAGAGGAGATATACATGGAGCAACCCAAAGGCTTTGAAGTCAAAGGTAAAGAAAATTTGGTGTGCAAGCTGAAGAAAAGCTTATATGGTCTTAAGCAGACTCAAAGACAGTGGAATAAGAAGTTTAACTCATTCATAGTGAGTAATGGGTACAAGAGAACTCATGCTGACTCTTGTGTCCATATCAAACAATTTTTTGGAGGTAAATTCATCATTTTATTGCTTTATGTTGATAACATGTTGATTGTCGGTCAAGATGCTTTTATGATTAAAAACTCAAAGAAGAGTTATCTAAGTCATTTGACATGAAAGACTTAGGGCCAGCAAAACAAATTTTGGGCATAGAGATAATTCGTGACAGAAAATCCAAGAAGTTGTGGTTGTCATAAGAAAAGTATGTTGAACGGGTGTTTGAAAGGTTCAACATGAAAGCAGTCAAACCGGTAAGCTCACTTTAGCCAATCTTATCAAGTTAAGCAAAGAGTCGTGTCCGTATCATGTATGCAATGGTGTGCACACGACCAGATATTACTCATGCAGTAGGTGTGGTGAGCATGTTTCTCTCTAATCTAGGGAAAGACCACTAGAATCTATTAAGTGGATTCTCAGATATTTGAAGGAGACTTCTAAGATGTGCTTGTGCTCTAGCTGTTCCAAACCAATCTTGGAAGGATTTACAGATGTTGACATGGGAGGTGACCTGGACAGTAGAAAAATCTAAGTCTGGGTACTTGTTTACTTTTGCAGGGGGAGCCGTCTCATGGCAATCCAAGCTGCAAAAGTGTGTTGCTTTGTCCACAACCGAGGTTGAATATATAGTCGTTACAGAAGCATGCAAGGAGTTGTTGTGGCTGAAGTGGTTTCTCTAAGAGTTGGGTTTGAAGCAAAGTAACTATGGCGTTTATTGTGATAGTCAAAGTGCTCTGAAGCAAGAACACTGCAGATCATTCACGCACCAAGCACATTGATATTCGTTATCACTCAATTAGAGATGCTATCGAGAACAAGTTGCTACAGCTGAAGAAGATTCATACAGATAATAATTCCTCAGACATGTTGATAAAGGCAGTTACAAAATCAAAGTTGGAATTTTGCATTAAAGCTGCTGGGATGGACTCCAAGTAACTTAGAGTCATGATCGGAATTCCTCCCTTATGGACTGGAGGGGGAGATTATTGGTATACCATGGGTCCAGCCCATGATGAAGGACATTAAAGGTCCAGCCCATTATAAAGGATGGATGCTAGAAAATTCTAGCATCTTATATAAGCAAACCAAGTGCCAAGGAAATTTGGTCCAAATATGCATGTCGGTGGAGTGCATGCTATGCTAGAAAGTTCTAGCAGTTTGTATAATTGTGTGGCTATCATTTCTAGCCAAAGTCAGTGTGCAATGGGTATGACGGCAAAAACCCACGTTTAATTAGGTGTGTTGGTGTTGCTAGCAAATAAGAGAGTAGAAAAGGATCAAGTCCAAAGCTAGAGTTCCACTCCAAGAGTGAGAGTGAAAGTGTTCCACTACACATTGTGTGAGTGAAGTTTAGAGTGATAGAAAGTGTGTGTTATACTTTCTTGTATCCATCAAGTCTGTCTTTGGCTTGGTAAGACTACTCTTGTTGTACTCATCATTTTCATATAGTGAAGATTGATCGTTGTTCCATGGACGTAGGCATAAATTTCCGAACTATGTAAATTCTTGGTGTCCATTTTCTACTTTACTTTGTGCATTCTCTATCTTGTAGTATTGACATTCCTAACAATAACTGCCGGCGAGTATGGATTCTTGGCGAGCTGGGAGATTTTTATCGGGGAGCCGAGAGAGATCAGATGAGTGAGAGAATGAAGATCCAGTTAGGAAAAAAAAGAAGAGGGAGAGAAGGGTGAATATGTGAGCAAGAAATGAAGAAAGAAGAGGGAGAAAAGAACAAGAAAGAATAGGGATACAATAGTGAGGCAGTTGGGGTGAAAGAAAAGAAGAGGGAGAAAGATGTTAGGTTTAAATTTGTTAAAGGTTTCCAACACATTAATCTAGCTTAAAAGTTTGGCAACATTGGGCTTATAAATTAGGTTTAGAAAATAATATCCAAAACAAATAAATACATAAAAATACTATATTATTTTAATATAATTAATTCGGTTTGATTTGGTTTACAAACTATTGAAACTGAAACTGGACCAAAAGTTTTTGTACTAACATTTTTTAATATCAAACTCAATAAAATAAAAATCAAATAAATGTTCTTGAAACAAAAATAAAAATAAAAGGAGACAATTATGATTGGAAAAATGTAGGAACCATTTCAACAATGTAATATATCAATTTCAATTTGGTTAATCTAGTGGTATGGGCGAGTAGGGCCATGTGTTGAAATAGGCTAAAGATTCGGAGTTTGAACTCCACTTTTGGAACCTAAAAAAGCAATATTTCAACTTAAGGAGAAATAGAGCCAATGTCTCCCCTCAAATGTAGGATGTCAAAATAGGGTTTTGTTCTTACCTCTCGGAGCTGAAATTTTCCATAAGCACTCTATTTTTGCCAAGGAACACCCATTACGGAAATACACTTAAATTTTCATACCAACTCTATATAAGGATCTTCAATGTTTATTCTTTGAATCGACAGCTCTCTTTTGATTTCATTTGTTTCACACTCGTGCACAACCAAACACACACTCACAAAATCAAGATGGAACATTCTAGGCGTTTGTTTTCAACTGTCTTCATCCTCCTCCTCCTTCTGGTGACTATTGGTATCTTTCTCTTTCCTCATCTTAACTTCATCTTTATGCCTAACAAAGAAATAAAATTTATATATATTGAAAGAAGTTTTGAGTTTGAATACTCATTCTCCCGGTGATGAAAAAGAAAACCAAGATTTTATGGGTTGATATAGAGATGCATGTTTTGGCAGGAACGGGTCCAATGGTTGCTGAGGGGAAGACAAAAGAAAAGTCATCGAAGAATGAGAAGTCGTCGAAGATCTGTGAGTCTCCAAGCCATAAATTCCATGGAATTTGCTTCAGGTCAAGCAATTGTGCAACTACATGCAAAAAAGAGGGATTTATGGGAGGCAAATGTACTGGCTTTCGGATGAGATGTGTATGCACTAAAAAATGTTAAGTCATACAAAAATTAACATACGTATTTGGATGCATGCATGTGAACAAATGACCTTTTTTTTTGTTTTGTTTTTTTGAAAAAGAATAAATGAATGAACTCTAATCTACCATAAGGGTTTCTATCCTTGTCTTGTTTTTGTGCATTAACCGCACATGAGTTGTTTTGCAATATAAAATATCTTCGTAATAAAAAGATCATTGCATTAGTGAATGCATTGCACTGGTACCTTTTTTTTAAATATAAAATCTGCTTTTTAGTTCATATTTTTAGAATAAATATAGTTAAATCATATTTTAACTAATTCTATAAAATCTTAAGTTAATTAATAAAATATTTGTTAACGAAAAAATAGTATAACAACTTCTAAACTTTAAAATACGATTCCAATTCCAACTTCAACCAGAGACAAGTTTAAGTTGATTGTGATTTTAAACATAAGGGTGTATATAATGATAAAATTGACATATTGTGGCCAATTTTGAAAACCACGTTTACACTTTGCAGAGATATTTTTCCAAGTGACGAGTATTCAAGTGGTATTTAACATGTCATAATACAAGAAAATGATATACTATTATGTCTTTCCACTTATTTATAACACGTGAAGTGACTGCTTAAATACGACACTTGAAGGCAAAAATAATTAACAATTTTCATATTAAAAATAAGGGTTAATCTCAGTTTACTATCCTAGAGTTTCTTGGTTTTGAACATTCGGTACATGAAGTTTTTTTCATCTCAAAGTGGTACCTAAAGTCATAATTTTGGGACACTTTCATACATCCGTTAAGGTTTCTATTAAATATGTCGTTAAATGGTGACGTGACATCCATGTGGACAATGATTGGGCGTCACGAGTCAATATGGGCCCACCTAAATATTAAAAAAAAATTAAATAGAAAAAATTAAAAAATAATCGGCTAATCTTTATCCTGCCCCTCACCCACTCCACCTTCCTCATCCCTGATACCCACCCGCCACCATCCCTTTTCCCTGTCCCCTTCCACAAAAACCCCCAAACAACCCTCCATCCCTTCTCTCTTCGTGGCCAACACCCAGAATGCGAACCTGGATCAGGAAACCCGCTTTGCCACAAGCTCTTGTTCGAGCCATCGCTTACGCCGTTGTCTCTCCAGAGAAGATGATGGAGTTTCTCGATCTGGATGAGAGCTTGGCGCACGCACAGGCCGACCCGTCGTTAGAGAAGTTGATTTCATAATGCAGCCAATGATCGACGAAATCGAGAGGCTGTTTGATCCCTATTCTTCCACGTGCTCATCTGGGTTCAAGATTGCAATTTTTTCTACAGAGATTTCTTTCTGGTGTTCGTGCATCCCACCTATTTGATCCAATGTATAAGTCAAGATCTTTTCCTGAGGATATAAGTTTCTTTGAAGATTTTCTTGTCTCTTTTCTGCTTATTTGGTGATTTGGTGAAATGGGTTATAGTGGAATTTTTGTTGAGAATAATGATTGTTACAGTGAAATGGGTTATGGTGGTTCGGCAAAAAAAAAAAAGGTTATGGTGGAATTTTGAATGGAGAGAGAATGGAGGGAGGATTGTTTGGGGGTTTTGGGGAAGGGTACAAGGAAAAGGGATGGTGGCGGGTGGGTATCAGGGAAGGGGAATCCCACCATCTTCCTTTTCATTTTAAATGGACAACTTCTTTAATTCTTTTAATATGGTCCCACCATCGTTATTTTAGTTTTTGCATGGTTTCTTTTCAATGGTCCCGCTATCGTTTCTTTTATTTTTATATTCCCTCATATCTTTTCTCTCTTAACCCATTTTTATCTAATTTTTGCTTTGTCTTATTATTCTTTTTTTATATAATTATGTATTTACACCTTTAACAATACACACACACATACAAATTATTTTTTCCAAAAATAACATATTATTTAGTTAACGTATATAATATATAATAAATTTATTTAAATCCATCTAGTCTACCTAGGACCCCCTCGTCTAGTCCACCCAGACCCCGTCTAGGCGCTAGGCCCCAGTATACCGCCAAACTAGCGCCTAGTATCATTTAGAACCTTGATCGTAAACAACTAGATCTTAAGCAACAAGAAGTTGCTTCCCATTCATTAACTTCTCATTTGAGGGAAACACAAATCCTTCTTCAAAAAAAATTCACTGAGTGTGGGATTTAAAGATTGCCTTCATCTTGATGCACCAAATCTCATAGTTGATGTCATTGAAGACTAAAGCTCGAAACTCAGCACCAAATCCAGACATCTTGCAGCTCAATTCACTTGAGTTCTTCATTGAAAACTCAGAGAACCTTTCACAAATCCACCCCTTTATATTCAACTTAAACCAAGTTGTGAAGCCATATTAGTGTTTGTAGTGATTTTTGGGTTAACTTGGTATAGTTTTTGTATGAATTTCACCAAGAAATTGAAAAGCTCAGTGAGCTGAGATTTTGCACATAACACAAAGAACCAAAAATGGAGTACATTGTTCCTTAGTGGTGCGTTTGGTACGCGAGACGGGACGGAACAGAGTGGAACGAGGCGTTCCGTCCCACGTTTGGTGCGATAAAATGAGTGGAGTGCCTCGTTCCACGGGACAAGTTTTTGATGATTTTTTGTTCCAGCTCCCCCCCCCTGTGGAACGGCTTGTTCCACGTCCGTGGGACAGATATTTACAACATTTTAAGACAAAAATGCCCCTTGTCTTTTTCAAAATTTACATCATCAAAATCATACAACAATCCTTAAAAACTATCTTATCTTCTTCTCAGCCGTTGTGAACCTACCTCTGCATCTCCCCTTCGTAACCTTCTTCCTCATCTTCTTCCGTGTATTCTTCCGTCTAGCCTCTTCACCTCTGCATCTTCCTTTCGCAACCTTCCTCCTCGTCCTCTTCCGTGTAGCAACTATGAATCTCCCTTTTGCAACTTTTCTGTGTAGCAGCTCTGCGAACCTTCCTCCTCATCCTTTTCCGTAGCATCTTCAGCTTTGCATTTAGACTTCTGGGTATTCATTGCATATCAATAATTCTTTAAATTTGCAGCCCTTAATATTTTAAACATGTGGTTTGCAATGTTTGTTGGTGTCATGGAATTGTTTTCATTTGATGTTATTATCTTTTGTATCAAGAGGTAGTTCGTTCTCTGTTTCATTGTTTGCGTGTGAACTTCTGACTTTAACATTGTCTAGGGATATATGTGAGTTGAGAACACATTACTAATGAGGGTTTTTTAGAGGTTGGTTCTCTTTTGTTTGATGATTGTCCGATATTTCTTTACTTTATGTGGAAATTGATGCTAAATTGAGAGAGGGTGCATGCTATGGATTGCTGTCATTGGCATTTTTGCATTGTAGAATGTTTCATTATGAGGTTGCAGATGCATGAAGGTCTGGTGTTAGGCACTTTTAGGGTAGAAATTCTAGTAATACTTGATGAGTGATGCAAGGGAATCTATCTTTTGAGGATGTTTAGCAAGTTAATATAATTTGATTGGGAATATAATGTTTTGTGTGGTTTTATGTTGATGGTAGATTACATACTTATTGAAACAGAAACAAAAATTGGGTTTGGTCTAGAAATTATGAAAATGCATGCAAGTCTTTACCAAGTTGCTTCAAAACAACAGTTATTTATGAGCTACTTGGATAAACTCGAGCACAATGGCGTAAGTGATGATGCTAGAATTGTGTGTTATGGAATTGTCATATGCTTTTGATGTTCTCTGTGTAGTCTTGTATCTTTCTTCTGCATTGTATTTGGATCCGGTTGAGCAAAAACGCAATAACTTTTTGAGATAAACACCCATGTAACATTTTTGTAAACCTTTCTCTATCTCTCTCATTACATGATATGGGAGAGACGAGCATACATGGGATTTGCAAGTTTTTTCCCAACTTTTTGTCACTTGGAATCCTGTCATTACTTCCCAGGAGACCCGTGATTGTTTTATGAGCTTCTAGGTGGGGTTAGTAGTTATGAATGTGAAAGCTTAAAACATCAAAAGGTACTAAAATTGGAGTTCCAATTTTATGTCTTGGAGCCTTAATGTTGCTTTATTCTTATATATTGGTTTCAAAGGCACTTGTGAACACAATCTTGATGACTAATAGATTTCCTTGTTGGTGAATTTCTTGAAGTTACACCTTTCACATCCTAAACATAACAATCACAGCGGCCGTCCATTTTGGTTATCCTATTTTGATTTTGATTTTTCTTTTTCTATTTCTTTTTCTTGTTCTTGCTTGCAACATATATTGTTCTTGTGATCATAACCAAGCAAAATCTCACTTATGTTGTTTCTCATTCTTTCTGCAGCACTCTTAATGCGTCAAGGGGTTAATGTGAAGGGTCTGTCGAAAGTTGATCCTGTAAAAGAAGAACTTCAACCATACATTTTGCACAGGAAACTTGCAGGTGCTGTATATCCGTATTTATTGCACTTTTTGTTCTTTCTCATATTTTTCTAGTAACCATTCTTATGTAGCAGTGGTAGTACTTGTTTGCTAGTTCAACTCTTTCTGGAAATGTTTCCTTTGAACCAAGAACCTCTTTTGTTAACACAAACTCCACAAAGTTGGTTGACTGTACTCTTTTTTTGTCTTTCTTTTCAAAATTGTTAAAAAGGAAGACATAAAAGTTAATCTATGTATATGAGGAAGCTATAAAAGAAGAAGGCTTCAGAATCAATTCATAAATTGTATGGAAATACCACTAACTTGGTTAGAAAGCCTAATATTTAGTTTTGAATTCTAAGGGGTTGTAACATTCTACAAGAACCATCTCTGACTCATCACAAATGAGGTCTCAAGGAAACATGAACATTCATTTGGAAATTTTATGTTTTGCTTTTGGTGTAGTTCCATATTACTGTTGCTATATTTATTCATTATTTAGAAATGATTTTTAGGTTTTGAGAAGTGCATATTTGATTAATCGTAAAACCTTAACCCCACGCAGAAGGAACTAAGCTAGATATGTGAATATAAATCTCATGTCAACTTTTTGGTTATGCAATCAGTATCTTATTTATTCTCTTTTGTGTAAGATGTTACTTGTTCTCAGAAACTTAGTTTGTTATCTATAACAGGCTTATCAAGAGTCAACCAAAGAAAAGCGGCGTGCTTAAATTGCTCAAGGTTTCACTCCATCTCCCTTCTATTTTCTTCCTTTCCATAGATGGGTACTTTTTATTTGTTATAGATACCGGCACAGTTTGGGTTTGG